TGACCCCTACGCTTACGCACCTCGCCCTCGGTCAAATACGATCCTCCTAATTAATTCCGCAGCCATCGTGTGCTCTGCCTGACGCGATATTCAAAGGCTTCACACCACTTTTTTCACCTAGTGAGACCTCCCCCACCTCCTCCGGAACAGCCATGCCGGGTCTCTTAGGGGACGGATGATTAGTCCGTGGCTCGTCTAATAGAATAAGGTCTAATAACCTAAACGAAGGATAGCGACACATGTCGCCTGATGGGATAAATATCATTCGATGCCCCCTGGATTATATGTAGAGGGTGTAAGAGAACTGCTTTCAGGTTTCAATGGTGAATGTGGTCAGGATGGTTAACGACAAGACGTTGACGGCCACGATCTGCAACAGCCTTCGTCATCCAGCAAACCAACCGCAGTCACAATCTTCCCCGTGAACATTTTGAGGAGCCTCCAGGAGGTCAAGCAACCCGAAGTCTTTCTGTGAAGTCCACATTCAATTCCTCGCGATGTTTTGTTAATAACTCTCTATGAAATGGTGCTACTTTTACATGATATGGGTATAAATCTGCAGATTTTCTGTCATGTATTGATTGGGGAGCTTTTACCCCTCTTTCCGTCCTACTTCGTCTGAGGTACGGTAGTTGTGATGATGAACGTGTTCATTCGTTGCATTCAACGAAATTCACGGAGTAATCAGCCGTCGATTCAGGGCGGCGGTGCACGCTGGGCAGGGTGTTGATTGTCCCCTTCAAGCAGCACTCCCTTAGCTTTCCGGCTAGGTATACGGTAGCTGCAGTATGTGTCGTATGCTCTGAATGCACTCAATTTAACCCTGCAATTTGAATTCCTTCAGCTAGAGCTGACTAGGAAAGACGTCACCAGGCGGTTGAGTAGTGAAAAGTACAATCTGTCCAGTTCTTCAAAAATTAGAGTGATTGAATGGTTCTTTGTGGGGTGTGATCATGACACGTCCTTCCGGGGAACACTCTCTACACCCTCCCTCCCTTTTTTTTGCTGGCAAGTAGGGGTATACAACACATTTTAAACGGGAAAAGGCAAAGCTACGGCTCCCCTCTCTGCCAAAGACGAGCAAATAAGGCCCCCTCTCCCGAATTTCTTGAATTTCCCTGAATTGACCTTGAATTTTTCCCAACTGGGCACATTATGAGTTAGGATTTTTGGTCGAATTTGTACGACCTTTCCCCGAAACGGTGGCTCCCCTTTTAACTGCTGTTGATTTTGAAGCTTGTTGTTTTTCCAGGGCACTTGTTGCCGCTGGAAAAATTTTCGGAAAAATACGAACCCCTTCCCCTCTTCCGATCTTTTTTCGAGGATTTTCCAACTTCCTACTATGTTGTGTCCCCGAGCGGAGCGGAGGAAGGCCCAGCCCTCCGCCCACCCCCATGAGCGTGTGAGAACGAAGAGGAAGGTCAGAGCTACCAGAAAAGTCTTCCTGGTTCACCAAATACGACCTCTCTCCAGCGACCGAATCTGGTACAACCCTTCTCCTTGTATGAAACCTTGACGATGATGTTTCCTGTCCCCCAACAATCTTGATATTGCCCTGAGAACAAAAAGAACCACACGAAAAATTGTTTTTGGACTAAATACGACCCCCCCCTTCCAGCCCCTCCAGCGACCGGGAACGACCCCTCGCTGAAGATTTCCCAACGTGCTCTGGCCGTGACACTGCAGTCGTAAAGTGCTGGCTGCTGTGAGTTCTTCTTCAGCTCTTTTCCTGGAGCCTATGCTTGTTTGAGATAAAAAGCATTCAACCCTGAAAGTCACGTAGCCACCATAGCATCAGGTCGGCCAGCACAGAAGGACATCAGGTCGGCCTCAATGCCTTCAGTTCGCTAAATCCTGTTTGTCTTAGCTCCTTAAGCTTGATATAAGATTTCTGATGGCCATCTGTTCCTTAAAATCAGCAGCTTACCTCGATCGCCAGCATAATTCACTAAGCTGTTTGTCCCTCGAGTAACAGAATGACCTAGTGATTTAACGACGAGATGTTCCTCATCACGCTACCCTCCCCATGGGGCGAGAACCTCCTAATCAGCCATTCGATGTTGAGCTGTGGCGGTTCGTTAGCAATGCGGTAACGACGACATTGACCAGCTTCCGCAAACTCGCCGCCTGCTTCCTCGACACCGCACGCGACATCCGGCCTACCGCACGCGAGACCTTCCGGTGTCGTCGTGTGTTGCGACAAATTTCGCATATACGGTAATCGCACAACGGAATCATGGAATTCGTGAGCAGTAGTTGAGCGAATCCCGGCAGCACACGCAATATTAGTGATCAGCTGGTCATGGTAGCTCAACGGAAGTGGTTAGATGGTTCGTGGGATCTAAAAATTTTTTGCGCACCTGAAAGTCATTTCGAATGGGCTTCATGCAGATGTTCGCAGTGGTTGATATTCTAAGCGATCAGTTTCCCGCCAGAAGATCCTATTTTCGCCAGGGTGGAACTTCTAAAGAAAAGGCACCTCGGTGGTCCCTTTTCTGATCCTTTCTTGTAAAATGGTCCACAGTTTGCGGTAGTCGTGCTCACGGTAGCACATTCTTGCCCAGAGCCAGATGATTCGAAAGAACGTGGAAAAGTTCATAGGTAATGGGGTTGAAAAACTGAATGAATGTGTATTTGCCAGTTGACCTGCCGGTGAAAAAAAAGCAGAAGAAACCGTCAAAGACGCCCCAGTTGAGGGCCTACTTGTTTCAAGCAAAAGACAAAGAACCGACAGGTGTTTGAGGGCAAAGGGCCAGATGAGCTTGCAGATATGCAGATATAAGAGAACTTGCAAAAGAGCAAGATAGATGGTAAGCGGGCGGAGTCAGCTGAGCAACTTCACGCCGTGGCGCCCCTACCTTACGGTTTATGACGCGAAACTTGTGCTGGATTGTTCACTGCAGTCCATAGTACCTCCCTCACAAAATGATTTTGATTTTAGAAGTGTTCACGGAACGTGAATTTAAAAAAATATTATTTGCTGAAGGGCCAGGAGCCGGAGGAGCTCTCTGGTGACACCTAGTGCCTAAGAGACCAGTAAGCAGGGATAAGTGGAACCTGGGCTATACGGAGGAGAAGTCGTCACGATATTTTGCTCTTCAGGCAGTTTACATAATTACATAGAGATTTGCGAAATGGCGGTGTCGACTCCCCTCTTCCGAAGAATTCTCGGCGCAACCCCTCCTGCAACCTGCCCACCTACGACCCTCACGCATTCGCTTACTGTCTAAATTATCTAAATCCTGAGCTTTTCCTGTTGAGTTGAGTGATACAGCGCCATTGAAACAGTACAGAAAATTAACAATGAAACCATGTCTAGATACAGCACCTCCTCGATGGTATTTGCACAACGATGATGATGCTGACTTCCTCGGAAGTCATCTTGCTCAAGGGAGCAGCTGTAGGAAAACCAGCCAAACACATCTGAGAGTTACAAAGATCGAAGTGACATTCTTAGCTTAGAAAGTCTAATACGTCACCTCGCACGCACCACTCGGTGCCTTTTGCTGCTTCTTGTGAGGTCATTCGACAAGTTTATGCGTATGGCCTGACACATGCGTGCTTGAGGTATTTTTTGTAAGGTCATCGACAGCTTATGCTATGCTAACACAATCGTGCCTGAAGGTAGGTTCCATGAAGAGCCGTATAAAAGCTGGGAAACCTCACTAACCAGGCTCTTAGACAGCGAATAGGAACGAGCGTAGTGAGTGTCAAGAAGCACTTAAAGGCAGTTGGCACGATGGAATCCCTAGACGAGTAGGATTAATACGCCTGGCAGGACGGAATTCCGCGACCCTGAGCAGGCGCTGCGTAGCGCCTTTTCCAAGGAAGGTACCCTTATAAGGCCCTATCAAGCTACAACATACCGACCCGAACGCCCACCACGCCCGCCCGCCCACAAATGGACGACCGTACCTGATGCTCGTATTGCTTCATTTGCTAAGTAAAATATGAAGCGAAGGGATTGATATGAAGCGGCCGCGGTGCTGCATGGATATATGAGTACATACGTGCAGCCGTATCTACCGTAGCGGTTATTGGCAAGATGCCTACGGGAAACTCGTCCGAAATTGCTTTTGAGTCATTGAAGAACGAAGGCTTTTCTTCGCAGGTTTTTGACCGTTTCACTTCGTTTTTTCGCCATTTTCCCACTATATAGCGCCCTGCTAGCATTTTAGGAAGAGTACCGACTTATCGTGCCAACTGCGATTCCACCGGATTCCACCGGATGATTGCAGATGATATCCCTCAAGCTTTAGCTATCAGAACTTCACTGAAGTTGCATCTTTACGATGAGTTAGTCCTCGATCTTTGACGCAGGTTTCATCTTACCGTAATTGAGCTATGCTGTAAGTACATATGTAGGCTTCGGTTGCGGGTGAGTGCATGTGTAGTTCTTGTCAATGAAGAACCAATGTCTACCTCGAGTACTGGCATTCTATTTTGTCTCGCGCCATCCTGGGCCTCGATGACATCCAAACCCACCTGAACATTGACAAGAAGTCAGTGGCCAGAAAAACAGTGGTACGGTCTCATACCTGTCTGAAAGGTTGGGAGTATTATCTTCAAAAGATTTATGGAAAGCCTGCCAACTTGGTACTTCGGCGCCATTCTACGATGAAGTATTACACATATTTCAACGCCACTCCTGCTTCCAACTTTCAGCTGAATCTTAGGGTAATAGCTCCCTATGGGGCAGATTATTAAGTCGGAAAATTGCCAGTTGAAAGGGCTGTGAATCGCACTTCTAAACATCACCCTGCTGTCCGGTTCCTCTAATGCCGTCAGGTATGCCAACGGCAAACAGGCTCCGCAAGCAAAACACGGTGGCCAGAATAAGCATTTCGCTGTCTTCTTGTTCCCAGCGCCAAAAAACGCGACCAACCCTTGTGATTTCGAACAAGGTGTGGAGGTACTGGCTAACAAAGGATACTACTCCTAACTTCTATATAGATTGAGTATTTATGCTGACCAGATGCTCAAACTCGCCCTGTTGGTCGATGGAAGTCAATTTCGGGCCAGTCCCGCACGAAATATGGCAAGGAAGTTTTTGCGAATTCATCACATTCCAAGCGCGCGGATATTCACTTGGCACGTCGTCTCCCCTCTCCTCTTCACCTAGCCCCAAAGGGGTTCAGCTGTCGACTACGGTGTGTCGGCGCGGTGGGGTATTGTTTTGCGGGCGACTGGAAGAGTGGCAGGCATTTCCCTTAGGGATACCCTTCGTATCAATCAGACTCGGCCCATGGAAAGGTTGAAATTCATCAAACATCACACCACTTGCCCCCTATCGCTTGTCACACTTGCTGAGGAACATCGAGAGCAGTTTGGATTTGCAGGATAAAAAACCATGTTGAGACGGCACACATAATAAAGGGTTCTACAGTATATCCTCGAACTGGCAGAAGGCTAAATGATCTGTATT